TGCTTCATAGAGGAGGGGACATTTGAGCTTCACTGTGAAGGGGCTTTGGGAAGAGGAAGGAAAGGCATATACAGAGGGGAACCTTCGTGGGCAAGACCAGGAGCAGGAGGCTTTATATAGAAGGGTGAAGCACCCTCAGGTTCCATCTTCCACGGGCTCACAAATTCACAAAGCCTTCTAGATATCCAGGAGACAAAGTGTCCGGCCAAGAGTTTTGGTCGGTCAGGCTGGTGAAACAGCGCCATCCACTGGTGGAGCCTGTGCCTGACATTGCTGTCCGCTAGGAGCCCAGAATTCTGGAAGTCTGAGTGTCACCAGTCAGCAGCATGGCCCCGAGAATAGGGACCAGAGGGAAGCTGTACTGGAGGCACAAGCTCTCCCCGTGCAGTCCAGGGGTCTGAAAGCAGAAGCCTCGGGCAGCTTCTGGAAGGAAAAGTGTTCCCTGGCACTGGATAGCCTGAATGGAATAACTGGGCCTTGGAACGGTTCCCCCGACTCAGTGCACAGGGCCACGGACTTGTAGTATCGCTGCTATGAAAGTTTCTTAACATCTTCCTGCCTCAGTTTCCTCATGTGCAAGCCTGGGACGGTAATGGTCTCTGCCTCTTGCCTTATTCTGCATGAGTGTATATAAACCATCTGCTACAGTATCCCATTACTGAATCTCAACTTACTGTATTAGGGCCAGTGAGATGGCTCAGAGGGGAAAGGTGCTTGCTGCCCAGGGACAGGAGTTTGATTCGTGGGACCCCCACAATGGCAGGAGAAAGCCGACCCCTGAACGTTGTCCTGTGGCCACTGTATGTGTGCTCTGGCACATGCACGGCCCTCTCTGCACAATAATACTGCATAATTTTTTAAATGTTCTGCATGGTAATAGTAATTATTTTTGTGTTCAAATGCACTTGGATGCTGCCCACTTTAGAAAAACAATTAAAGATTAAAAAATATTTTATTTGAGACAGGGTTTCTTTTTTTAAAATTGTTTTTATTGAACTATATATTTTTCTCTGCTTCCCTCCCTTCCTCTTCCCTCTCCTCCTTTCCTCTCCCATGGTCCCCATGATCCAAATTTACTCAGGAGATCTTGTTTTTCTCCAGTATTAGATCCGTGTATGTCTCTCTTAGGGTCCTCTTTATTGTCTAGGGTCTCTGGGATAATTATAGGCTGTTTTTTCTCTTTATATCTAAGAACCTTATGAGTGAGTACATATGATATTTGTCTTTCTGGGTCAGGTTACCTCACTCAATATGATGTTTTCTAGATCCATCCATTTGCCTGCAATTTTCAAGATGTCATTTTTTTCTGCTGTGTAGTACTCCGTTGTGTAAATGTACCACATTTTCCTTATCCATTCTTTGGTCGAGGGGCAATTAAGTTATTTCCAGGTTCTGGCTATGACAAACAAAGCTGCTATGAACATAGCTGAGCACATGTCCTTGTGGCACGGTTGAGCATCCTTTGGATATATACCCAAAAGTGGTATTGCTGGGTCTTGAGATAGGTTGTTTCCTAATTTTCTGAGAAATCACCATACTGATATCCAAAGGGGTTGTACCAGTTTGTACTCCCACCAGCAATGCAGAAGTGTTCCCTTTTCCCCACAACCTCTCCAGCACAAGTTGTCATCAATGTTTTTGATCTTGGCCATTCTTACAGGTGTAAGATGGAATCTCAGAGTTGTTTTGATTTGCATTTCTCTGATGGCTAAGGATGTTGAACATTTCCTTAAGTGTCTTTCAGCCATTTTAGATTCCTCTTCAAGGCAGGGTTTCTCTGTAGCTTTGGAACCGGTCCTGGAACTAGCTCTGTAGACCACCTGCCTCTGCCTCCTGGGTGCTGAAATTAGAGGTGTGTGCCACCACTGCCTGGCTTTAAAATTGTTTTTAACTAAGTGTATGGTGTGTGTCTGAGTGTATAGGTATGTCCATGTGAGTTCAGGTGCCTGCGGAGACCAGAGGCATTGAGTCCCCAGAGCTGGGTTACAGGCAGTTGTGAGCTGCCCAGTGTGGGTACCTGGAATCAAACTCGGGTCTTCTGGAAGAGCAGTACATATTTTTAATCACTGAGGCACCCGAAAGCCCCTCAGAACAATGTTAAAAGGTATTTTATTTCGTGTATACAAGTGCTTTGCTTGCATGTGTATATGTGCACCATGTGTATGCAGCCTCAGAGTCCAGAAGAGGGAGTCTGATCCTGATCCCCTGGAATCGGAGTTACGGCTGTGAGCCGGGTGCTGGGAAATGAACCTGGGTTCTCTGTAAGAGCAACAAATACTCTTAACAACTGAGCCATCTCTCCAGCCCTCTGGCTACTTACTTTGAGACAGGGTCTGTCACTGGCTTGGAACTCGCAAGTAGGTTAGACTGGCTGGCCAGTGAACTTCAAGTGTCCTCCTATCTCTACCTCCCCCATTCTGGGATGACAGATGCATGCCGCCACATCCGGCATTTTTACATGAGTGCTGGGGATTTTTTAAAAAATATTTATTTATTTATTATGTGTACAGCATTCCTTCCATGTGTGCCCACAAGCCAGAAGGGGGTGCCAGGTCTCATTGTAGATGGCTGTGAGCCACCATGTGGTTGCTGGGAACTGAACAACCTGTGGAAGAGCAGTCAGTGCTCTTGACCACTTAGCCATCTCTCCAGCCCAGTGCTGGGGATTTGAACTCAGGTTCTCATGCTTGGACAGCGAGCACCTTACCTGCTAAGCCATCCCTCCAGTCCGGTACTTGGATTCTGACCAGCATCATCACTTAAAACCTGGACTGGATGGAGTACCTCTGAGGTGCTCAGAGGCTGGGCGAGGGAGGGGCAGTGTGTGTCACAGTCTGTAGAAGGGGCTGTCCCACCCCAACGAAAGCAGGGGCTTGTAACGAAGCCCTGAAGTGCTGCTAAAACATAACTTGGAGGGGACGCTCAAGAATTCCCACAAGCCAAGCTCTATTTCTGAAATCCAATTTTAGAAACGGCCGTGATTTGTGTGTTTTCCTGTCAACAGAATAGCTCCAGATGCTGCTACCAATTAATTCGTCATCTCTCCGTTTGCCAGCTGAGTCACCCTGTGTCAGTGGATTTAAGTGTTGGTGAAGTCATGTAGCCTTCCGTGAAAGGGGGATTGGTGCAGACGTGTTTGGGGAGTGGGCTGAAGTGACGCACATGAACCCGGACTTGTGATCTTTGACCATATAGGTGTTTTTTTCGAGGCAGGGTCCCACTGTGAATAGCCTAGGCTGGCCTTAGAAATGAGGTCCTTCAGTCTCAGCCTCCCCAGGCACGGGGGATCACAGGTGGGCACCATAACACTGAGCTTTCATTTTTAACCTTTCTTTGTGTGTGTGTGTGCATGCGCGTGTGCGTATTCTCGAGTGTGCATACACATACATGCATGTATGCACAGTGCACTCGCAGCGGCAGAGACTGGGAGTTGGTTCTCTACTTCCTGTGCGAGTCTAGGGGGTTAAATTCAGGCCAACAGCCTGGCAGGAAATACCTATTTACCCTTCACACCTTTACACCAGCCCCTCAACCTCACTTGGCAAAACTCCACCTGGAGCTCACGGATTTGGGTAGACCGGTTGGCTAGCAAGCCTGGGGAATTCTCCTGTCTCCACTGAGAGCTGGGATCATGAGCACACACTACAACACTGGGCTTTTGAATATGGGTTCTGCAGATCAAACTCATATCTTATATGTGCAAGGCAAGCACTTTACCCACGAGGCTGTTCCTTCCCTCAGCCCTGCTTTTCACCTTCTTCATGTGTCTAGTAGCTTCAACTGTCTTCCGCGGCTGTCTGAGTTTTAATCGAAATGCATTTGCTCAGGGTGGGCATCTGCTGTGCCCACAGTACAACTCCAGGACGACTCAAGAATTTAAGATATCTCTCCTCAACAAGTAGATGTATTTGGAGAGCTAGAGAAAGGAAGGGATGAGCAGGTTCTGTGGGACATGCCTGGGTCACTACTGCTGCTACAAAACACGGCCACCAAAAAGCAAGTTGGGAAGGAAGGGGTTTCTTGGAGGAAGTCAGAACAGGAACTCAAGCAGGGCTGGGACCTGGAGGCAGGAGCTGATGCAGAGGCCACGGAGCAAGCTTACTGGCTTGCTTCCCATGGCTTACTCAGCCTGCTTTCTTATAGAACCCAGGACCAGCAGCCTAGGGATGGCTCTACCCACCATGGGCTGGGCCCTCCTGCATTGATCACTAAATGAGAAAACACCTTACAGCTGGATCTCATCAAGTTATTTCCCCAATTGAGACTCCTTCCTCTGATGACTCCAGCTTGTGTCAAGTTGACACACAAAACCCAGCCAGTAAAATGAGCAATCCAGATACTCAGGGGCAGAGACCAGAAGATTGCGTGTTCAAGGCTAGGAAGATACAGAATATGTTCAAGGCCAGCCTAGGCAGCTTAGTAAGACCTTGTCTTAAAGAGAGAGCTGAGGGTGTTTAGTGGGAGAGCCCCTGCCTAGAATCCTCAGTGAGGGGCTGGGGTGTGACTCAGTGGTAGAGCCCCTGCCTAGAATCCCCTAGTGAGGGGCTGGGGTGTGGCTCAGTGGTAGAGCCCCTGCCTAGAATCCCCCAGTGAGGGGCTGGGGTGTGACTCAGTGGTAGAGCCCCTGCCTAGAATCCCCCAGTGAGGGGCTGGGGTGTGGCTCAGTGGTAGAGCCCCTGTCTAGAATCTCCCAGTGAGGGGCTGGGGTGGGGTGGGGTGGGGATGAGGGCTTATTTCAGGGTGTTAGAGTGCCTGGCTAGCATCCTCCAATGATGGGTTTTGAGGAAGCAGAGTGGTCTGGAAGGGTCTCTGATCCCTACCTGGTTTCCAGGGCTGGTGATTTGTCTAGAACCACAGTCAATGAGCACAAAGCCTGGGTGACATGTCCACTGTCCTGGTGACCACCTGAACACTAAGCAGGCACAGTACCTTCAGCAGCCAGTCTGGGGTGGACAGGCAGGAGTGCATCCCCACTGACCTCGTCCTTGTGTTAGTTACAGAACTCTCATCAGACCGACCTACCGGGTTTCCTACCGCACGGTGACTGCGCTGGAGTGGAGGTGTTGCCCTGGGTTTACTGGGAGCAACTGTGAAGAGGGTAAGTAGGGGATGAGGTCCCGTCATCTAGGCTGGAGGGGCGGTGGTGTTTCTGTCCTCATCCCCCCAACTGCCCTGTGCCAGCTTCTCCCCTTTCTACAGACTTTGAGAATGCAGTTCTTTATTTTCTGAAAGATCCCCGAGCCCAGTGCTCTGGGTGCCGAGGTCCGCCATGTTTGTGGGTCGTGACATGGGTTCCTATTTGTCTTGGTTGACTGGGTGATGGGGGAGCCTCATGAGTGGTAGCCAGTTTCTTCTTCTTCTGGCTCTGACACACTCAGAACTGGGGCAGGTACTACTAGTTGTTCGTGGCCAAACCAATACAGATAAAAGTTTAACTGGGTACAATCAGGCAGATGCCAGGGTGCCAAGCTGTGCCTGGCTTCCCTCAGTTTCAGTGGAAAAAATGGATAGACGGGCCAGGCTCAGTCCTTCCTTCCCAATGCCTCAGGGCCCTGGCACAGCCTGGCTCTGGTGCCCACATGTGCAAAGACTCTTTCTCTGTACCGCCAGCTCCCAAATAACGACACAGAGACTTATTATTAATTATGAAAGCATGTCCTTAGCTTAGGCTTGTTCCACCAACTTACCTTGACCCATTTATTTTAATTTACATTCTGTTGCATAGCTCTTTACCTCATCTCTCCATACTGCTGCTACCTCTGTGTCTGGCTGGCAGCTCCACCTTCTTCCCCAGAGTTCTCTTTCTGCCCAGAAGTCCCGCCTATACTTTCTGGCTAGCTATTGGCTGTTCAGCGTTTTATTACACCAATCACAGCAGCACATTTTCACATAGTGAACAAATATTCCCACAACACATGGTGCTATAAATATATATAATATACACATTATGTTATCTATAATAAATTATGTTACATATATTAATACGTATGTATATTATATGTTAATATATGATAATCACACACACACAAAAGACTATGTAGGTACACATGACTGTGTGAATATTGTGAAGGTCAGAAGTTGATCCTGGAACCATCAACCTCATCATTTTGAGACAAGGTTCCTCACTGGAACCTGGGACTCACTGATTAAGGTAGGCTGGTTGGTTGAGCAATGGGTCCCAGTCTCCAGCTCTCCAGTGTGGAGATGGCAGCCAGTGCAAGCAGCACACCCAGCTTAGTGTTCCTCAGGCCAAGGCTTGGGATCCCTCCAGCCCCTCAAGTGCATGTTTGACATTTTAAATTTATGAAGAGTATATTTGGGCACTGTCCTGTTATAAATCACAAAGCACCTATTTACGCTCAGTGTTGAAGATAGAAACGCCTAGAATGCCTCTTTCAAAGTAGCCTCGAGTCTCCCTTTGGCAAAAAATTAAAATAGAACCAAAAAGCGGCAACAACAGCAAACCTCAAGACCTTTTTTGTGCTTATGGAACAATCATTCAAGGCCATGCCTTCTTGTGGACAGGTCTTCTATAATGCCTTTTTCAGTGGTTCGGGGAGACAGGAGCACACACCATCTATAACTGAACTCCTATTATAAGATATTTGAGTTATTTCCAATTTTTTCATGGCATTCCTATAAACATATATTTTTTAAAATAAAGCAAATTTCCCATATACTTATAATGCACAAATGTTTATTTAGTTCTCTCTCTCTCTGTCCACATGTATGTGGGGTGCATTGCCTGTGTGTAAGTGTGGAGGTCTAAAGAGGGCACTGGGCACCCTCTACCGCTCTCTTACCTTAAAACTTTTTTTTTTTTTTGATTTTTCTTTAATGTGTATGGTGTTTTGCTTGAATGTATGTCTGGGCATCGTGTGCATACTCGGTGCCCACAGAGCCCAGGAATGAGCAGCAGATCCTCTGGAACTGGAGTTCTAGATTTTGGAGAGCTGCCATGTGGGTGCTGGGAACTGAACCCAGGTCCTCTGCAAGAGCAGCCAGTGCTCTTACCTGCCGAGCCATCTCTCCAGCCCTCTCCACCTGCTCTTTTGAGGCAGGGTCTCTCCCTGAATCTGAGGCTCAGCTCATGTGTTCTTGACTGGGTTTGACCAGAAGCCTACGAGCTCCAGCTATCTTTCTGTCTTCTGCTGTTATGTACTTATTTGTTTGCTGGCTTGGGGATTCAATGAGTTTCCTTAAGGTTGCTTACAAGAACATGGTAAGGGGTACTTACAGGGGCATGGACAACTCACTAGTGGCTACAACACAGAAGAAAATGCCTCTCCTTCCCCCCAGCAACCACACTGACTAGAGATCTTCAGGGAGGGTGGAGCCTCCTGAGTCCCTCCCTCCTCCAGGAAGGGGTCTTGATGGCCCAGTCTAGAGTGGGCCTCTTCACACCTGACTGCTGCCGAGAGTCTGAGTCCTGATGCTGTGTCATGCCTACAAGACAGAATTCTGGGACACTCCCCACCTCCCTCCAACTTTTTCTTTCTTTCTGTCCCTTCCCCGGCGGTGTTCCCTGAGCCTTGGAGGAGGTGACACGGTTGATTCTGAGTTGAGACAATATTGGCATTGTTCTGGAGTCTACCTAGTGCCCACCAGGAGATGAGCAGCGGAGGGAGAAGATGCGCCTGTACACACAGTAGATGAGGGGATGGAGAAGATGCGCCTGTACACACAGTAGATGAGGGTATGGAGAAGGTGCGCCTGTGCACACAGTAGATGAGGGGATGGAGAAGATGCGCCTGTGCACACAGTAGATGAATGGATGGAGAAGATGCGCCTGTACACACAGTAGATGAGGGGATGGAGAAGGTGCGCCTGTACACACAGGGACTTTTATTGAGCCACAAGGGAGAATGAAATTGTGTCATTTTTTTGGGAAATGATTGGGGAGCAGAAGTTCATGTTGAGTAAAACCAGCCAGGCTCTGAGGGACAATTGGTCTGTGCTTCCTCTCACATCCAAAAATGGATGACATGGTGTACATATGCGTAAGCCAGAGACTGATTCCAGGGGTCCTCCCCAGGTTTTCTCTGCCTTATTTCTGAGCCAGGGTCTGTCACCAAACCTGCAGCTCATTGTTTCTGTTAGATTTACTGCTCAGTGAGCCCCAGCGATCCCTGTCTCTGCTTCTCCAGTGGTGGAGTTTCAGGCACATTGCTATACACATCTCTTACATGTAGTGCTATTTCATTTGTATTTTAATAAATAAAACTTGCCTGGAGATCAGAGAGTAAAACAGCCACAGTGGTCAACCACACAGACCAGGCAGTGGTGACACACATCTTTAATCCTGGTAGCCACACTAGTTGCCATAGAAACCAGGCAGTAGTGGTGCACGCCTTTAATCCCAGCCCTAGGGAGGAGACAGCTCTCAGACACAGTCTCATTCTGAGATTCCTGGAGGCAGGATCCCCATTTAAGACTGAGGTAGAGGTAAGAGCCAATGGCTGGCTGATTTGCTTTCCTGGTCTTCAGGCTGAATCCCATTATCTGTCTCTGAGTTTTTATTATTCATGCTACATTTGACACCCAATGTTTGGAGTATGAAAAAAAAAAGTTTGCCTGAGACATTTTAGTCACTGGCACAGGCCAGAGCTGTGGGTGGGGCTGGAGCCCCACCTGGTCAGGCTTTCTTTTCTTCTTTCCCCAAACCTCTCAATGCCTTGTGAGTTTTTCAGACAACCAGCTCTTTCTCCCTCTCTCTCCAGGGTGGGTTGAGGGCTCTCTCTGAACTCCCTTCATGGGCTGCTACCAAACTAGATAACTACCTTGAAATCCAATCAGGTTTTTAACTGTTCTATGCAGCAGCAATAAGCCTTATATCTTCATCAATATTGTTAGCAGATTTGGTAAGGCAATTGGAAATTCTTAAAGGAAGAAGGAATTAGTTAAAAGAGAGAGTTTTTCCCTATATTAAAAAATGGGAAAAACATTATAATGGAGGGGTTTGGGTCTCTGTATGATAATATACTAGATAGTTTGAAAATGGAACAATTAATTGAGATAATATCTAATTTAGATGGGATTTATGTAATGTCAATTGAAAATATTAGCAGCTTTATCATTTTTGTCTTATCACTAAAAAAGCTGGTTAATCTTGGTGCTAAGATACAGGCTTTAGAAAAACCTAATAAAAAAGATCCCAGAAATATTCAAATCCAGACAGAGGAATTTAATGGAGACCCAATTTCAGCATTGCATTGTAAGAATAGAGAGGAACAGCCTAAGGTTTTCAGACAACCAACTTTAATATATCCTGTAACCTTACAGGAATTACCAAATGGCAGGGGTTCTGTTACAGCTAACTGGACTCCTGTGCCAGTGTTAGATTTAAGGAGATTCAGGGAAGCAACAGTCTCATGAGGCTTGTGTTCACCTTTTGTGAAGCAAATGTTAAACTCTGGCAGTTTGTGATAGAATTATTCCTAACAACTGGATAGAGTTGGTTAAAGCTGTTTTAGAGCCTGGTCCACAATTACAATGGAGCATCTGGTTCAGAGAAGAGGCTGAGACTATTGAACAATGGAGTAAACTAGAGGTAGGGAAATCTCCCAAGATCAAATTCTCGAGAAGGAGATTATATTACCATAGAAAGGAAAGCTGTATATGATGACCACACCCTGGATTTATGCCACACAGCAGCTTTGAATACTTGGCAAGAACTGGAGAAATAGGAAAGAAAAATCGAGTCATTTCTAAAGTTATTCAGGGCCCAAAGGAAGCCTTCGTGGATTTCTTACAAAGATTGACGTCAGCAGTAAATAGAATGATATCAAATTTAGAAACTAGGCAAATAATAATTGAATCTCTGGCTTTTGAAAATGTCAATTTTCTATGCAAAAAGGATAATTAGGCTGGTAAAGGGAAAGTCAGTACCTTTGGAGGAATGGGTCCGAGATACAATTAATACTGAATCTCATGACCGTGATGATGCATGGGTAGAGAGGTGATTTCCAGAGGTTTGAGGAAAAATTGAAATGTCAAGTGTTATAACTGTGGCAAGCAACATCACCATTAAAGGGACTGTAGACAGGGCTCTCCTAGAAACAATGCTTTTTATAAGAATAGTCTGTTCAGAACACCCCT